GTTCTAAATAAATTTATATATATATAAGTGGACTTCAACCCATATTGTAAAAAATTAAGTGAAAAAATATTTTAAAATTACATTGTTTTAATAAAGTCTTATTAAAAATACTAAAATATCTTAAATTTTAAAATAGAAATGAGATTATTTTAGTTTTCTATTGTACTTTATTAAAATGATATAATTTTAAGATATTTTTTATTTAATTTTTTGTAATATAAATTGATACTCATTAATCTATAATACATATGTGTATATATATATATATATATGAAAGAGTTTCAATAAAAATATTCTAGAAATTTCAGTGTGTGTACTGCAAATAATAGTGCAGTCTTATTTGCAGTCCAGCCCGGAAAAGTTTTGTTTTGTTTCGTTTTTTTTTTTTTTTTTTTTCAATCCCGTGGAACTTCCATTACCTATTTTCAAAAAAAGCCCATGGAAATTAAGGCCTAACTGACATATTTTTCCACGGTAGTTGGGAATGCTAGAAAAGAGAGAGCCGTCGTCGGAAGTCGCAGGGAATACTTGCACACTAGTCAACACCAGAACCCGTTGCATTTTGGGATATTTGCTCTTGTTAACCAGCCACCACAAAGGTTCCATTTGTTATTCGTGAAAACTAGCAAAACAATGGGCATTCGATTTTTAAAGTTTGTTATCTTCATCCTCTTACAGCTTTTCTTCTCTAGTTTCTCATATGGAACTGATATCATCACCTCATCCACCAATCTTAGTGATGGCAGAACCTTGGTTTCTAGTGATGGAACCTTTGAATTGGGGTTCTTCAGTTCTGGAAGCTCTGGTAAGAGCCGTTACTTGGGAATTTGGTTCAAGAAAATTCCAGTTCAAACTGTTGTTTGGGTTGCAAACAGATGCAACCCCATAAACGACTCATCTGGTGTTTTGATGATAAACAGCACAGGCAATCTGGTACTCCTCAGTCAAAGCAGGGGTGTTGTTTGGGCAGCAAACTCAAAGGAAGAAGCTCGAAACCCAGTAGTTCAGCTCCTGGATTCTGGTAATCTTGTTCTACAGGATAGAATCATGGGTATTTTGTGGCAAAGTTTTGACTATCCTACCGATTCTTTGCTAGCGGGGATGAAGTTTGGATGCAACTTAAGGACTGGTCTTAATCGAAAACTATCAGCATGGAGGACACCAGATGATCCATGCCCTGGAGACTTAACTTATGGGATAGAAAGAAATAATTTTCCCGATTCTATTATGTGGAAAGGCTCAAAAAAGTATTTCAGGTTAGCACCCTGGAATGGCATTGGATGGAGTGGTGCACTGCACGCGAAGTCCAATCCGTGGTTCAGGTTTAACTTCACCTCAAATGAAGAGGAGGTTTACTCCACATATAACACGACAAGCAAATCTGTAACCACAAGGCTTGTTCTGAACCAAACTTCCAGTAGGGGGGAGCGCTACATATGGAATGAAGAAGCTCAGACTTGGACATTGTTCAGTCAGGTTCCATGGGATATCTGTGACAACTATGGGACTTGTGGGGCATATGGGACCTGTGTGAGTACAGCACTGCCACCTTGTCAATGTTTGAAAGGTTTCAGGTTTAAATCACAAGAGGGGAGCTCAGTGGACTGGATTCAGGGTTGTGTGCGCAACAACCCTTTGGACTGCCAGAAAGGAGATGGATTTAAAAAATTTGGTGGGTTGAAGTTACCAGATACTGCACATTCTTGGGTGAATAAAAGTATGGATCTCAATGAGTGTAGAGCTAAATGCTTAGTGAATTGTTCTTGTATGGCCTATTCAACCTTGGATATTAAAGAAGCTAGCGGCTGTGCAATCTGGTTTGGTGATCTAATTGATCTTAGACAGGCCCAATCTACTGGACAGGATTTATATATTCGAATGTCTGCTGTTGATTCAGGTATTGGTTTATTTTGCTTTAGCCTAACAATTCAGTGTTTCATTTACTTATGTTATGATTCCTATTTATGTTGGGTG